ACTCCAAATTCAAAAACAAGGATTGGTTCAAGTTATTCAAGAGGATGTGCATGCAAAAAACCGAAGCCAAAATGAATGCGATATGGGCAGGTATCAATGGTGAGATCGACCGCGCGGCCTTGCCGCAGAGAGAAGACCGGAGGGGTCGTAGGACGGCCATAAATTTGAGCCAGTGGATCACCGAGAATTGCCCTCATTTGGAGAAGTGGGCGCAGGCTCACGACACCGGGGCTCGGTATGGAATAATGACCAGCAACATGTCAGAGGTGTACAATGGTGTTCTTAAAGGGGTGCGAGCACTGCCTATCACAGCCCTAATTGAAGAAACTTGGAACCGGACCCTGTCATACTTTGCAGACAGGGTCACCATCGCCAAAGCACAAGTTGAATTGAACAAGCCATGGTCCGAGAAGATGCAAAGACATCTGGACGAGAAAGCAAAGAAGTCCCAAAGTCATGGCTGCAGGAAAGTGGACGCACTTAGGAATAAGTGGGAGGTCAATGTGTGAGCCAAGTACGTTAAGGGTCACCACAGAGGATCAAAAAAGCAAGCTGTCACCCTTGGCTCAACCTCCTGTGAGTGCACTTGTAACAAGCCCAAGCTTGAGGGCTACCCTTGCAGTCATGTGCTCCGGGCGGCTGCTATTCAAAAAATCAGCGTCGAGCCATACATATCGCCGTACTTCAACATGTACAATCTGTACAACACTTGGAACGGTGAGTTCTGGGCTTGGGGCATTGATATGAACTACAAAATGTTGTGGCCAGATGGGCCAAAATGGGTTCCGAACACCGACTTGATGAGAACCACAAAGGGACGATGTCAGTCTAGGCGTCATCGCAATGACATGGACCATAGCCAGATGGGAGAACCAAGGCGATGCCGCGTTTGCAGGTGTCCTGGACATTCACGCAAAGATTGCCCGTATCGAGCCAACAACAACGCATGATGTTGATATATATGTACTCGCCATGTCTATTTATATTTCTACTCGTTATGTGTACTTATATTGAATTTAAATTGATTCTCTTTGTATTATTGTACTCCTGATGTTAACTTCAGATAATTAATGTAAATCGTATCTCTTTGTATTTTTTAAGTTAATTTTGATTTGCATTTGTATTTCTGTCTTCCTCGTAATTTATATTTGTATGTTTGTGTGCAGGTTATGGGTGAAGTGCCAGTGCTTTTGCAGGGGCCCCATGACGCCGGGCACCGTTGCCACCTATTTTTGAAACCAAATACTAAGCATGATTATCGGCCTTTCAGACTTCGAACCATAAAGAAAACATGGCCAATACACAATCATTTCCTTGCTCACCTTGACGCTTATGGACTACAAGGTTTTGCTAGGCTCACATCATGCGACGACCAAGTACGTTCGGACCCATCCCTTTTGACATCCCTCGTTGACCGGTGGAGACCTGAAACCCACACATTTCACTTCGTTTTGGGGAGCTTGCACCTACACTGAAAGATGTTTCTATGATCACTGCTCTACCAATTAGAGGTGAGCCGGTAGTCTCTCCACGAGTGTCTCCATCTTGGGCATTAGATATAGCAGCCCGTCTTGGGATGGAAATGCCAGAATCACAACGTTCTGGTAACCCTCGGGGCATCCCACTCGTCTGGCTTCGTGATAACTTTCTTAATTTATCTAGCTTCGCCAATGAGGAGACGAGAAAAAGACATCTGTTTGCATATTTGTTGTGGCTCCTTGGAATCTATTTCCAAATTCACATGGGGACGTTGTTGTCCCTGGTCTCATCTACATTGCAGAGAATATGGTAGATGAACCTTTACCCGAGCAGCCAAAATATAGCTTCGGTTCTGCCATGCTATCTCATACATACAGAGGCTTGTGTGATGCCACGCAAAAAACCTCTTTCGCACAAAAAGCTCCATTACTTTGTGTCGCCTATGAGTTTCTACAGTTGTGGTCCTGGGAATACCTCCCTGTAGGACGACCTCGTATAGTACAACCCATATACCCATATGACTTTGGCGAGGGTGCTAGCGCAACTATGGCCACCAGGTGGACAAAGGCACGGAAATGTTGGTCTCCAGATATTGCGAAAAATTGTTACCCTATGTACCACCAGCAGTTTGAGATACTTGATGAGGCAGAAGTCACATGGAACCCGTGGACTCAGGACCAGCTAAAAATGGTCTTTGATGCTCGACACTTCACACCAGGCATGTTGACCGATAGTGCATTCTGACTGACTCGCTGCAACTTATTGTTCCTGTGGTGTGTTGAACCTTACAACCCAGAGCGTGTAATGAGATAGTTCGGTCTCTATCAAGAAATTCCACCACCTTTTCCCAGACGTATCGACGAGGAAACACATAAGTAAGATGTGACATCCCTAAATAGTTAGTGTCATTTTTAATTTACTAAACTCACACTTTGTTACATAATTTGCAGGCTAACCAATATGGGCAGGGGTTGGAGTTTATACGATTGGAGGGAAGAGAACAGTGAATGGGTACACAAGTGGACAAATGAAGCGCTAGCAGATATAGTGCGTCAACTTAGGTATATTTTATGTACATTATTTTTTTACGATGATCATACGATGCGTGAAGATGCTTTGCTTTCATCACAACCGTTTATGTAATTATTTAATTTTGCAGGCCGTACGATGGAAGTACAGATCAAGCGTACAAGCAGTGGTACTGCATGAACACACGTGCTAGCCTGGCCAGTCAGCCAGCTAATATACCAACACATCTCACACAAGAGGAGCAGGCGCGGAGACATGTTGAGCTGCATGCAGCTTACTATCGTGACCACCTGGTAATCACTTGTAACTTTTTTAGGTCCATCATTTCATAATCATTTGAACTAAATAATATCCAAATATTGTTCAGCTTGAAAATGTCAACGAAGTATGGCAGATGGCTACAGATAGCATGCCGGCCCAGGGCCCATATCGCAAGACATTCCAGAAACTTTTGCAACAATTCATGGCAAAGAAGTTCAGATGCGGTAGAGGCGACGACGTTGCCACTGGAGCATACATGCCGGTAGCGAGGTCAGCCAGACCGAGTGCGGCACCGTCGTGTTACAATTATATAATTTGCTTGTCTTCAGATGTAGTGTTATGTTTTTATTCTCACTCTTAGTTAAGTCGTACTATAATTTCACCGGCTTTGGATATGGTGGTGGATCTTGATTTTTTTTTCCTACCGGAAAGAGGGTAAATCCCTGGCCAGGTGGATCCGGGTAGTTCATGCAAGTTAACTAACAAAAATAGTACTAATACAGGCTCGTTCTTTCCATCAACGCCTGAAATCGTTGGAAATGGAAACTCCTTGTTATAGGATGATTGTTGAAGTTTCTGCCCCCATCTGTTTCTTGGCCCTTTTTCTATAAAAGGTTCCCTTCATTCAGCAGGCTATTTAAATGTTTCAGGTTCATCACAAGCACATATAGCTAGAGAGCCAAGATCGATTCTTGTCCCCCTTGTTATAGGATGATGGCTGTTGAAGTTTCTGCCCCCATCTGTTTCTTGCCCCTTTTTGCTAAAAAAAGATTCCCTTCATTCAGCAGGCTATTTAAATGTTTCAGAGCCAAGATAGATACTTGTCCAACAAGAGATGGCTGGAATAATGGTGAGCGCTTCTACCGGGGTGATGAACTCTCTCCTCGGTAAGCTGGCCACCCTGATGGGGGAGGAGTTCGCCAAGCTAAAGAACTTGAGGAAGGAGGTTAAGTACATCAGCGACGAGCTGAGCAGCATGAAGGATGCTCTAGAGAGCCTTGCAGATGTTGATGAGCTGGATAAATAGACCGCGAGGTGGAGGGATGCAGTCAGGGAGATGTCATATGACATCGAGGATATTATTGATGACTTCATCTGCAAAATTGGGGAGAAAAGCAAAAAATCTGGGTTTGTCCATGACACCATTCAACGCCTTAGAACTTCAAGGGTCCGCCATAAGATTGCTGGTCAGATTGAGGACATCAAGAAACTTGTGCATGAAACAAGTGCACGCCGTGAAAGATACAAGCTTGATGTCCCCACATCATGCAATGTGGCTGTTGACCAACGGGTTGTCGCACTCTATGAGAATGCAGCTAAACTTTTTGGTATGGAGGGCCCAACAAATGAGGTTGTCAGTTGGCTAAAAGATGAGGAGAAGCAGTTGAAGGTTGTATCAATTGTTGGTTTTGGAGGTTTGGGTAAAACAACACTCGCCAATGAGGTCTACCATAAGCTGAAGGGAGAGTTTCATTGTGGTGCATTTGTGCCAGTTTCTCAAAAGCCAAATATTCCTAAACTTCTGCATAGTTTATTAATCCAACTTGGGTGTGGACAATCTTTTCAAGATTGCGAGTTAAATGTTCTTCTCGACCAACTCAGAGAAAATCTGAAAAACAAGAGGTACTGATTCTTACTTTCTATATTGTTGTTGTTCACATGTGCCTCTGATATTTAGATTTCCTTAAAAGATTTAATATTATGTTCTTCTATAAAATAATTAATATTTAATTTGATAATAAACATTTTCATCTACATTGAACCCTTTGAAATATATTTTTAAATTTACTTAGCACTGTACTGATTTCTTGCAGGTACTTGGTTATCATCGATGATCTATGGGATGTATCAGCAATTCAGCATGGAATATTATTAAGTGTGCTTTCCCAGAAAATAATGTTGGTAGTAGACTAATAGTAACTACAAGAATCAAGACTTTGGCCATGGCATGTTGTTTCGGTCACCACGAGCACATTCTTGAAATGAAACCTCTTAGTGAAGAAGACTCAAGAAAATTGTTTTTTGGTAGGATATTTGGCTCTGAAGAAGCATGTTCAGGTCAACTCAGAGATGTTTCAGTTTAGATTCTCAAGAAGTGCGGTGGTTTGCCACTTGCAATCATTAGCATATCCAGCCTATTAGCAAGTGAAAGTCCTGACCAGAAGGAGAAATGGAAACATGTACTGAATTCGTTGGGGTCAGTGTCCGGAACAAATCTCACCTTGGAAGCAATGAGACAGATCTTGAACCTTAGCTACAAAAATCTTCCTCACCACCTCAAGACATGCTTCTTGTATCTTGGTATGTTTCTGGAGGACTCTGAAATATACAGGCATGAGTTGGTAAGCCTGTGGGTTTCTGAAGGTTTCATTAGTAAAGCACATGGACAAAGCCTAGAACAGACCGCGATAGGTTATTTCAATGATCTTGTCAACAGGAGCCTTATTCAACCTGCATTGATCAAATCTGATGGGTCAGTGAAATCTTGCAAAGTACATGATATGGTGTTGGATCTTATCTTGTACAAGTCTGCACAAGAGAATTTTATCACTATAGTAGACAACCCAGAGGCCATTACAGGACAGTTTCCAAAGCCCCGTCGGATGCTCTTCAACTTGGATGGTGAAATACTGCAAGGGAATGTTAGTATGTCACAAGTGCGATCGTTTGCAAATTGGAGGGGCTCCATGAATATACCTTCTCTGGCAGAGTTCAAGTATCTTCGAGTTTTTAAGGCTGACTTCAGTTCTAGCTCTGCTGACCACAACCGCAAAATCGACCTGACAGGATTGTGTAAGTTATATCAGCTGCGATATATACAAATTCGTGGCTGTTGCAACTGCCAACTACCAACCCAAATTAGAGGGTTACAGATGTTGGAAATATTCGATATAGATGGGTCCTGTATCCCAATGGATATTTTTCACCTGCCGCACTTGTTGAATCTGATTGTTCCATCCGTTGAAAGGCTGCCTAAGGGCATTGGTAAAATGAAATCCCTACAACATCTGTGTCGTTTTGACCTGCGGCACAACACTTCACTCGACAGTATCAAGGGCCTAGGAGAGCTCACCAATCTGAGTACTCTAGTTGTCAGAACCGGTTTTTCTAAAGACGTGGACATGGATGTTCTAAACTCTTCTTTGGGGAAACCTTGTAACCTTGAGTCCCTGCACATAAATTCAGCTGATTCTTGGATGCCTGAGGAGCTAACCTTGTCGCCTCCTCCCCCAAACCTCACGGTCCTCAGCATGACACAAATGTCCCAGGTCCCTAACTGGATTGGGGAACTCCATAACCTCCAGTTTTTGTATCTCACTGTTGACAAGCTGGACAAGGATGGTGTTGGTATTCTCGCAAAGTTAACAGGCCTCATCGACCTGGAATTAATGTTTCATAATGCCCTGGAAGAAACAATTGCCATTTATGGGACAGCATTCGCAATCCTAAAGCGGTTTCATGTCAGCTGCAAGAACATGGCACACCTGACCTTCCAAGCTGGGGCAATGCCCAAGCTCCAGAGTGTATCTCTAGGGTTAAACGCCTTGGGGTGGAAGCAGGAAAATTGCACCGCACCTACTGGTATCGAGCACTTGTTAGCACTTGAAAGAATCGATGTACTAATCGGCTGCCTGGATGCTACTGAATCTGAACAGAGAAGTGCAGAGTCTGCCATTAGGAGCGCTATCAACATGCATCCTGGCCATGCTCACATTACAATCGATATTGTAAGGGAACCATGCCGTTTTTGTTTCAGAGAGTTCACCATCCTGCCCATGCTCACATTATAATCCTTGGTATCAGGCACAACCAGCAGCTGGTACGTTGCCATATAATACTGTACCTTTTTCTTACTTGAACTTGATTAGTTTCCGGGTAACTACTGGGTGTTTAATGTTTCAGTTTGGGTTGTAGCTCGCCATAATACTGCACGTCTTCTTTTATTCTACCAAGACTTTCGCAGATCTATGCAGATTCAAAAACTGGGGATGCCTTATTTAAATCGAAAATTCAGCCCTCTGCCGACGTTTCTTTGAACATTTGAGTTGCTATATTATGTCCTTTATGAACACACATTAAACAAGTCTTTCCAAATGTCTAGGTGTTGTGTCAACAGTAAGATTTGAGGTGCATTTATATAGCAGAACTAGCGAAGTACTTTTATATGCTGGTACTGTTTGATTAACTCAGGCAATACGAGTAGTTTCAATTGTTCAACCATGCTCATAGACGTTGATTTGCAGGAAAGTCGATTCTTTGATATGGAGCAACAAGATGAGGTATGCAAAGGAATGTTTGAGTTGTCTACAACATTCATGCCGGATTATAGCGGATGAAGATGGATTGCTGCATCTCCTCCCCGTCGGGAATATGGAGCTATCACTTTGCTTTGTGCTGCTAGTTATCTAGTGGAACTGATTCTCCTTCGTCTGCATGATCACGCATGCTTTGCTTGGGTTTCCTCAGTACTGTAATAAGGCTTGATGGTGGGAAGGAGTTAGCACTTGTTAGTCGCTCCATCCTTGACTAGTCCTGGTTTCTATATACTACTTGTTATTGTGGTGTGTGTATCGTGTGCCTCTTAAATACATCAAACTGAATGTTTCTTAGTTGTGTTGAACTTTCTTTTTTTGAAAAGGAGGTCATCCCCCGGCCTCTGCATCGGAGAGATGCATGCGTCTATTTTATTAAAAACGAGGAATCAAACAAAGTCTGGTCTGCAAAGCATAGCTCACAAAAGGAACAATAAAATAAAGAGTACAAAGCTCAAAGTCGCATCCGGCTGGACGGAGATTCAAACCGGTTGAAGAAAACCCGTGCTGCCATCTCCCATCGGTTGCACCCAGTAAGCAGCTGCTTCCTGGTGTTGGGGAACGCAGTAATTTCAAAAAAATTCCTACGCACACACAAGATCTATCATGATGATGCATAGCAACGAGAGGGGAGAGTATAGTCCACGTACCCTCGTAGACCGTAAGTGGAAGAGTTACGACAACGCGGTTGATGTAGTCGTACGTCTTCACGATCTGACCGATCCTAGTACCGAAAGTAAGGCACCTCCGCGATCTGCACACGTTCGGCTCGGTGACGTCCCACGAACTCTCAATCCAGCTGAGTGTCGATGGAGAGTTTCGTCAGCATGACGGCATGATGACGGTGATGATGAAGTTACCGGCGCAGGGCTTCGCCTAAGCACTACGACGATATGACCGAGGTGGATTATGGTGGAGGGGGGCACCACACACGGCTAAGACAGTTGTTTGTTGTGTGTTCTAGGGTGCCCCCTGCCCCCGTATATAAAGGAGCAAGGGGGGAGGCCGGCCGGCCCTAGGGCGCGCCAAGGAGGGGAGAAATCCTCCTCCTAGTAGGAGTAGGATTCCTCCTTTCCTAGTCCTATTAGGAGGGGGAAGGAAGGAGTGGGAGAGGGGAAGGAAAGGGGGGGCGCCACCCCCTCCTAGTCCAATTTGGACTCAAGGGGGAGGGGGTGCACGGCCAGCCCTGGCAGCCCCCTCTCTCTTCACTAAGGCCCATCTAGGCCCACTACACTAGTGCAGAACCGGGCAATAGCACCAGTTCGTAAGGCCCTTTAGTGCCGGTTTAGGAACCGGCACTAAAGTTTCGGCACTAAAGGCCCCCCCCTTAGTACCGGTTCAGCACGAACCGGTGCTAAAGGGCAACCACGTGGCACGAGCCAGCTCCGGGGGCCGGGAGCCCTTTAGTACCGGTTGGTAACACCAACCGGTACTAAAATGTTTGGGGGCTTTTTGGTTTTATGATTTCTTTTTCATTTAATTTTGTGTTTTCCATTTTAATTCTTTTTCGTTTGCTGGTATTTGACGATACTACACATTGTACACGTTATGCATATATATATATATATATAATTTCTAGTAGAACCAATCATATATATATCATCAATGTCTCACAAACCATATTAATTCACACATACACATATGTATAGCTATATACAATTTCTCCTACATATGCATGTTGCCTTCGGAGCCAGTGGCATTAGCCTAATTGGTGCCTTCGGAGCACGATGAGAATTGGAAGTGGTTCATGGGGGCGGTAGCGGGTAATAGTATTCTCCCTTCGGATTTATGACCTGGTCGAGCAAAAATCCCGCTATTTCCTCTTGAAGTGCTTCTACGCGCTCCGTTTCTAGGAGCTTGTTCCGCACCTCTTTGAACTGTTAAGAAGGAGATCAATATGCATGTGTATTAATTGTGTGACTAGATATCGATAATGGTGTAAAAATTGTGAATAATGTTCTGACAAGCGTACCCATTCCTGTCTTTGAGATCTGCTCCTTTCGGACGCCATCATGCGAATGTTCTCGCAAACGCAGAATGCACACAGATCAGTTCCCTGCGCCTGCTTCAGGGCCTTTATTACGAGAATGGAATTTAATTTGATCAGATAATAATTAATCAAGCATGATAATTAAAGAGATGGCAACTAGCTAGCTAGCTAGCTAGCTAGTACTACTTAATTACTTACCTTGGATCAAAACCATTTCAGCTTTGGTTTCCATTCGCCTTCCGTGACGCTGATGAACCTTGCCCAAGCCTTGCCCGCCGACAAAGAAAATGAATAAAGGGGTTATTAAATAGTTCATATCATGAAATGACGAATTACTAAATAGGCCGAGATATATAGTTAATAATGATTGAAATTACATGTTGACTAATCCCAAACAAGATGTTATAGTCACTTTGTTTTTTAAGTAGCGAGTCCAGTATTTCAACTGTTCCGGCGTCAACTTTAATGATACACAAGATCCAGTGAAATCTGCATGCACACACGTTTGCATGTCTTAATTAAGCGGGCATATGTAAGCAAAAACATGTAGCTAGCTAGCTAGTAGGCAAAAACAGAGAATTTGTAGTACAAGAAAGTGTGACTCACTGGAAGTTGTAAGGAAGTAGTATATCTTCATTGTATTTGAGGCGCTTCAAGAACTCTAGCATGCTGTCCTCTACCTCTTTTTCTTGATGCTTGTTCATTTTCCATGTGTATTTATTAACGGTGTTTGGGTCAATGAACCCAATGCCATAGCGTCCACCTTTTCTCATTTCATACATCTTCATCCTGCATAATACCACAGAAAAGAATATAGTGAGGATAATTACAGGTAATGATTGATCAAAAGGATCACTACAGCTAGCTTGAGACTTAAATTACAGAAAGAAATTAAATCACTTACAGACAATAGCAACTGACGATAGATTTGTCGAGTGCGTCTTGATTGTATAACTGAAACAGTTCAGGATACTCAACGGCCATAGCTTTCTCATGGTAGTAATCATCCTTCTTGACATCCACCATGAGGGGCTCTCGATTGGATCTCTTGGTAATGTCCATGTACCATTGATGCAATTCATACATTCTCGTTGGGAGCTTGTTGACATCTTCTGGCTCGACCAAAGGTTGGCCCTGGACATATTTCCGTTTTATTTCCTCCTCTGTAATCCCAGGCATGTCCTCGATCTCGAGGAGTTGTCCAATAGTGATCTTGAGTTCTTCAGCCTGCATTATATGCTCCTGGGTTATTACCACATCGCCCACCTCGGGAATGTAAACTGTTTGGCCACAATAATATTGGGTGCGCGTACTGTCATGTGTTGTTGGCGGCACAACAAGCGGGGGGATCGATTGCGCCGCCTGTTTTCCCAGCTGGGCAACAGTTTTCCCGCATTTTGACAGCTGCTTGTTGTTTGCTCGAGCTCGAGCTCGCCTCCTTCTGTAGACGTCATCGATGTAACTTCCTGATGTGGCGCTCATAGTCTGTGTCAACAGGCTTAGGAGCTGGTGGTTGAGCCATACGAATGAAGTGATGAACTACTTCCACATGCACTTTCTCCCTTGGCGGCGGTGGCGGTTTCGGTCCAAAATGGGCGTCGACTTCTGCCTACACTATGGCATTGGTTTGCTCCTCGGTCCTGTCGTAAGCTCTCACAGGAAGAGGAGTAGTGAGGTTTGGACCATATTTATATCGCTTGCCTCCGCCTGTACTTCCTGTACTATGACCTCGACTCGTACCGCTACGCACCATAGCTGCGGGGTGTCTCTTCTGCGATTGCTGAGGTGGCAGAGACGGCTGACGGGGCTGAGTTGGACGAGGAGGAGTGGCCTGAAGCTGTGCCGGACTTGCAGTGGCCTGAGATTGTGCCGGACTTGGAGGAGGAGTGGACGTCTGACGCTGTGTCAGACTTGGAGGAGGAGTGGCCTGACACTTTGCCGGACTTGGAGGAGGAGGAGGGCCTCACGCGTTGGTGGACTTGGAGGAGCGGGAGTCTGCTGACTCGGTGGCGGACTTCGACGAGGAGTCGGGTGATGCGGTGTCGGTGGCCTTCGAAAGATGATGCAATCCTTTCTCCATAGGATGACACGATGTATGGCCTCTCCCAATGTGTGCTCGTCGTCACCTCCAGGAATGTCAAGCTGTAGCTCCGAATATGGGCCCACCACCTCATCAACCAAGACACGAGCATAGCCCGCTGGAATCGGGTTGCAATGGAAGGTTGCCTCGGGGGAATTTGAAAAAGCAACGGCGTCCGCCACCTTCATGGATATGTTCTTCATTTTGAAGTGTAGCTCGCAGTTAGTGTTCTCCATGATGTCATCCACGGGGTATCTATCCAGCACTACTGCGTCGCCCGGGGCAGAATCCACGTTGCTTCTCGGCATGGATGGGGCGGTGGTATCCAATGCTGGATCATCCGCTAGCTGCTGCAGATGCTGAGACCCCCTTTGCTGGCTAAGTGAGTCGATCTGCTCCTGCTGCCGCTGGAATTTAGCTGCCAATTCCGCTTGACTTGCTTCTAGGCCTTGAAGGCGTTCATAGTCCCGCTTCCTCTGCTCCTCCTCCATCTTCCTCTTCTTCTCCTCCGCAATCTTCTTTCTCGCACGGGTTCTGTAGTCGGCGTTCCAGTCCAAAAACCCCTCATACCACGGAAGAGCGCCCTTGCCTCTTGTTCTTCCCGGGTGTTCAGGATTTCCCAGGGCACGCGTAAGCTCGTCGTTCCCTCTGTTGGGCTGGAACACCCCCGATCGAGCCTCTTCTATTGCAACAAGTAGCGCATCGTCGGCTTCGTTCAGACATGCCTTCGTTGAAACATTGCCTGTCTTCGGGTCCAACTCCCCCCCATGCGCATAGAACCAAGTCCTGCACCTGGGGGGCCAGCTCTTAGTAACCGGAGTGACACCTGCATCCTCCATCTCTTTCTCAGACTTATCCCACTTAGGCATTGCCACCGCGTAGCCACCTGGCCCCAGCTTATGGAACTTATCCTTTTTTTCGGCATTCTTCTTATTTATTCTCGACCGTTCCTTA